GAAGATAGGCTTTACAGCGCTAACTGTGTTGCTCCTGACCGCCCTGAGGATGGCATTTTAGATAGCTCTGAGCTCATCCGTTGACCACACTGTGGTTGGATAGTCCTCTGGGACTATACCCAGCTTCACTCCGCACAGTGCATCCCTAAAAGAAACTGGCTCCCCGCGACAATCTGCAGGTGCATGGGGAACAGTTGCCTCACCGGTGGGCACAGATGCAGTACCAGCTGGCCTGTACCCTGCAGATCCCTCACCTGGTTTGGCCAATTTCTTCGGGGATCGCCCCTGCGGGGTGGAGCTATCAGACCTAGGTCTTTTTTTGGAGAATTTGTTTCCCTCCGTGGTGGGCCAACGGGTTCTTTGGCTTTTTCTCTAGCCTGCTTATAGCTCATTCCCTTTTCTATGTACCGCTTGAGGCGTTTCCGATCGGCTCCGCTAAGCCGCTACCGCTCTCGAGCTTGGTGAGATGAGTTGTTCACCGGAGAGGCAATCAACTTCTGCTCATCTCCCGGCGAGATATCAGATAGCGTTCTGACGGGACTTGCATCCTGTCTCACGCTAGTATCCACCATCTCTACATCATACGAGGGACTATGCGCCCCCAGTAGTTCTGTACCGATGGTTTCTGTTTCGAAAGAAGTCGAAAGGCCAGCATTGGCCATTGTTTGGAGCTGTGCAGCTCCTTGTGGCCTTTCATTTGAATTTTTGTTACTTTGCATGTGTATCCCACGAGTATGGGGGAAGGGATGTTAGCTGGGACATAGCCCCCAGTATCCCAAGCAAGACTTCTTACAACCAGAGGGCGCCAGGTATCTGGAGGCCACCGTTATAAGCCACACTTACGTAGTGCTATTCATCCCATAAGCACGGTACGGATGACACTCGGAATTACGGGTTTTATCGAGTTGTCCTCTCTAGATCCGCCATATTCCGTAAAAGCAGGGGCACCTCTCGCAGGGTGTGACACGTATGGTCGGTCTTGAGCCATCCGATCCTGACTCAGAACATTACAACACATATGAAGCAATATCAAGAGCCTTGACCTCCATATGTATGTATGTATGTATATAATTACGCATAAAAACCCTGCTGCTATGTTTTTTTTGTACGTACTAAGTGAGCGCAATATTAAAAGCAGCAACTCTTATCCATCTATGACATACATAGATTCTATGTATATCGCAAACCCCGAGAACGGTTGAACCGATTTTTTCGAAATTTCGGACTCTTGTTGCAGTCGTTCAAAGGATGGTTATACGCTAACAAAAATATCGATATACAAAAGGGGCGAGGAACTTCCGATAAAAACCGAATTTTTCATACTCCATATATCTGGAAATGTGCATGGTGGAGTTCTGGAGCGTGGCACCTCCCATATAAACCTAAATTTTCATACTGCATACCTCTGAAAATGTTCATGAAAAAGTGATGGAACTTGGTATGGAGATATATGAAATCCATTGCATACTCGTGGAGGAAAATTTGAGCTATTAGGGGTATTCTCCAAATCTTGCAAAGCCATTGCACGTAGCACGGATTGCATGGATTGCATAACTTGCAAACACACAACAACAAAATACATGAGAAACAACATTTCCTATCGCTGCAAAATATGCAACGTCGAAACCCATGTATATATTTTGCAAAATAGCATAGCAAAATAAATGCGAACCTGTGCTAGTTGTTTTGTTGTTGGAATTGCTGCATATTTCTCTCATTCCTCTCATCTCGCTCACTTCATTTTTTTTTGCTGTTTCTTGTTATTGTAGTTGATACATAATTTCGCTCCTTGCTACCCATGCATGCTACCACTTTGCAATAGGGTGCTCTCATACTCTTCGAAATTTGGAATACTATTTTTGCATTTCGTGCAATTCGTGCATCGTACAAGACTTCGAGAATACCCCTATTGGAAAAGGGGGCGTGCACCTTGCATACAAACCGAATATTTCATACTGCATATCTCTGTTCATGGAAGAGTCCTGGAACTGGGTATTGACGTATATGAAATCGATCGCATACTATTGGATAAAACTTTGACCTATTTCAAAAGGGGGCGTGGCATCCCCCTTTCAAACCGAATTTACATACTGCATATCTCTGGAAGAGTTTATGGTAAAGTATTGGAACTTGGTATGGAGATATATGAAGTCCATGGCATACTCTTGGAGGAAAATTTGAGCTATTGGAAAAGGGGGCGTGGCACCTTCCACACAAACCCAATTTTTCATACTGCGTATCTCTGGAAATATTCATGGTAAAGTACTGGAACTTGGTGTGGAGATATATAAGATCAATCGCATATGCTTGCAGAAAAATTGGAGCTATTGTAAATGGGCGTGAGCCCTCCCATACAATACAAATTTTTCATATTGCATTTCTCTGGAAGTGTTCATGGTACAGCACTGGAAGTGGGTATGGAGATATATGAAATCAATTGAATACTCTTGAGAAAAATTGGAGCTATTGTCATAGGGGCGTGGGAGCTCCAATACAATATGAATTTTTCACACTGCATATCTCTGGAAATGCTCCTGGTATAGCACTGGAGCTTGGTATGGAGATACATATGTATATGAAATCAATCGCATGCTTATGAATAAAAATTCGCACTATTTGAAAAGGGGGCCTGGAACCTCCCATATAAACCGGATTTTTCATAATAAGTATCACCATGTCACCTTCACTAAATCCCGCTCTCCTATCCCAACTTCCTACCACATTGGTGGTTCTCAGTTGGGTAACCCTACTGAAAGCATACTCTATGTTGGCTTTTATTCGACGTTTCAGCTCAGACTTTTCTGATCCGTATACCCTAAAGTCACTCTATACCTCCCTGGTGCGCTCCAAGTTAGACTATGCCGCCGTAATTTGGAGACCTTATTATGCTTGCCATATCAATAGAACGAATCCAAAAAAAATTTTTCGTTTTGCCCTTCATTCTCTGCATTTTGTCCACCCAATTCCCTCCTACCGTGGTAGATGTCTACTTATTAATCTTAAGTCTTTAGATTGTAGGTGGTCTATTCTCTCCCTTACTTTTGTCGATAACTTAGTACGTGGTGTCATAGACTGCCCATACTTGCTTGGACGTATCCATTTCACTGTGCCTCAGAGGTGTTTGAGAAATCACGTATCTTTCTCCTTGGAGAAGGTAAGAACTCAATATGCTTCTAATGCTCCCATACTCAGGGATCCAAAGGAATTCAACTTGCTCTCAAATTCTTCTGTTCTAGACTTTTCTTACTCGAAAACCCGTTTTAAAGCAATATTAAATGAATTAATTACTTAGTTTGTTTTTCTTATTTTTAAGTCGTTGTAATCTTTATGAAATGTAATAATTTCTGGATTATTATTAAATAAATAAATAAATAAATAAATATCTGAAAGTGTTTATGGTAGAGCACTGGAACTTTATACCGGCGGTGCAACTCCCATACAAGTCGAATTTTTCTTATTTCATATCTCTAGAATTGTTCTTGGTAGAGTACTGGAACTTGGTGTGGAGATATATGAAATTAATCGTATAGTCATGGAGAAAATATGGAGCTATTGGAAAAGAGGGCGTGGCGCCTGCTGTACAAGCCAGATTTCATACTGCATATCTCTGAAAGTGTTCATGGTACAGTACTGGAACTTCGTATGGAGATATACGAAATCAATCCCATACTCATGGAGAAAAATTCGCTCTTTGAAAAGAGAGCATGGCAAAGTACAAACGTACTGACTTTTACTTATCTTTGAATGTGTATATAATTCTTCTGAAGGCATGTTTATGAGTGAAATCCTAAACGGCTGGCGAGATTTTAACAAAGTTTTGTGTGTGTGTTTGAGTGGGTCTCTGAATAGATTAGTTTCAAAATATTCCCCGCCAGTTGGCGCTGCAGTTGAGTTATTACTAAAAATCTTTTTTTTATCCGATTTGACGAATATTCGAAAAATGTATTGGAAACGGTAAAGGCAGTCCAATTGCAAAAAAGAGCTGCCAGGTGGTGCTGAGGTCGAGTTATTACTAAAAATTGACAAGTAAGAAAAGGTGCCGTGAATGTCAGACTAAATCGACCCATTGAACCATTGAGTACATGGAACTCTCGTGTATTACGATTGGCAGAATGGACGTGATTTTCCATTATTATTATGCGTTAAATCTGCATTCGGAGACACCAGGGTTGAGTTGTGCAGTGGTAAATCTCAAATCACAACCTGTCGATATACCTTAAAAGCCAGTTTCATGAAAGCAATTTAATGAAAATTTATTTTTTTTAACTGAATTTAATGTAGAACCTGACAGAAATAAATAATTTTTCACTTAAATTGTTTTCATGAAACTGGCTTTTAAGGTATTTCATCTGAAATAAGTCTGTGTATGTACATACATTGTTATAAATAACTAGTTTTAAGAGCACTGCTGCTCAATGCAAATGAAACTTATATTTTGTACTATGTTTTAAGCAAGCGAAACGTTTAAAAAAACTTAGTTTTTATTTGTATGTAAAGATTCACTTCAATCGTAGGTTAATCAATTTTCGATTTTAAAAGAAAAAACTAGTGATGACACTTGATACACAAAACAGTGTTGCATTTTTGTGTAGCCACCTTCCTTCCAGACGATGTTGCCACATTCTCCCCCCGGTATTGCGACCCATGGGAGAAAATACCCTCATCTAGGCAACAGTGTCGGTGCTATTTCGTCTGATGTCTAGCAGTGCTATCTTTGCAGCTGGACGGTGGTACTCGCCGGCCGATGTGCGAACAGTAGCGCTTCTTACTTGGCCCTCTTTGGAGGTATATACGTTGGTTAAAATACCCTTTGGCCAGGCGTGTCGAGAAAGATTAGGGTCTATGATGATTACCACGTCATCCTTTTCGATTGGTTGTGTATGGTCGAACCATTTTGACCTTCTGGTTAGAGTTGGAAGCACTTCGGCTACCCATCGTTTCCAAAACATGTCAGCTAGGTACTGTGAGTGGCGCCAGGAACCTTTAACATATTTGTCTGTTCAGCAGAATTTGCTTGGTGGTTTGCTGCCATAGGAGCTACCCAGAAAAAAATGATTGGGCGTTAAAGCTTCTTGGTCGGCTGCGTCCAACGATAAGTAAGTAAGCGGACGACCGTTGACAATACTTTCCACTTCTAAAAGCAGATTATGTAGTTTCTCGTCTGTTAGCTTGGTGTCGGGTGTAACGATGTGGTACATTACGTTCTTTACTGAGCGTATCAATCGCTCCCAGGCGCCGCCCATGTGAGGACTTGCTGGTGGAATAAAAGTCCATTTGCATTCCGCGGTTGTTAGTTTCGCCTGTAGAGTATAGAAATCCAGTTCTGCGTAGGCTTTACGTAACTCGTTCTCAGCTGAAACCAGGTTAGTACCATTGTCGCTGAATATTTCTATGGGTTGACCTCTTCTGGAAATGAAATTTCGTATCACCATTACACAGGAGTTCATGCTGAGTGAGTGTGCCACTTCGATGTGGATGGCGCGGCAGGTCATACAGGTAAATAACCCGCGTATCTTTTATCTGTGCGCCTTCCAATTGTCACGAAGAACGGGCCGAAGAAATCAAAACCCACATAAAAAAATTGTCTCGTATATGGCGCCAAACGTCCTTCAGGAAGTGGTCCCATTTCAGGCGGATGCGGGTTTGCGTTGCGCAACTTGCAGGACATACAGTTTAGGCGTAAACATCGCAGAGTTCGACGTAAGCTCGGGATGTAAAATCGCTGAAATATTTCATTGAGGACCGTGTCATGGACGACATGCTGGTATTTTCGGTGGTACCAATCAATTATAAGCTGTGTGATCTTGTGAGTTTTTGGCAAAATGACTTGGTTTTTTGCCGCATCTTCTATGGGAGCCCTTTCCAGGCGGCTGCGCATACGAACTATTTCGTCATCGTCGAGAAATGGTGATAGCTTTCTTAGCGAACTAGAATGATATCGTGGTGGTACGCATCGGCTTGAGCAAGGCGGTAGAGGAAACGGCGGCTCCAGAGAAGCTCGTCGGCGGTCAGGTTGGCTGGCTTGGACGACGGATTAACTTGTAGACGCCACTTATTCCTGCAGTTTTCGATAAAACGCCTTACGTAGGCTACACATCTCTCCAAACGTTCCCATTTGGAAAATTTGTTAACATCAATGCTAGGCTTAACGTTGAATTAAACTGCACATTGTAACCATAGATTCTCTTCTTCCTTCGCAGAATTAATCTTGCACGCAACAGACTCATACTTTGGCCACTTTTCATGTGGTAGCCGTAAAAAATCCGGACCGGTGAACCATGGATTGGTTGGAGCAAATTCATTTGAATTTTTCCATTTGGTTTCTGCATCCGCTGCGTTTTGTTTGGTGGTCACGAAATGCCATTTTGATATGTCGCTATTTTCTTGTATTTCAGCTACCCTGAACATTACGAATTGTTTGTATTTACGTGGATCGGAACGCAGCGAAGTCAGTATTGTTTTTGAATCTGTGTAAAAATGTGTATTGTGAATTGCGAAGTCATGCCCTTTAACAATCGCATTTACTAGGCGTAATCCTGGAACTGCTGCGGTCAATTCCATTCGCGGTATTGATATTGCGCGCAAAGGCGCAACCTTAGTCTTGGAGCTGACTAGAGCCACTTGAATTCCGAGATCGTTCAAAATGCTGAAATAGGCCACAGCTGCACTTGCAGACTCGCTTGCTTCCACGAAAACATGTAGTTCGACTTTACAATCATCGTTTTTAAAGCTGCCAAAGTAACATCTCGGAATTTTCACCTCGCGACATGCTTAAATAATGAGAGCCATTGTTTCCATCTGCATGCAAATTCCTCAGGAATTGTGTCATCCCAATTAATACCACTTCTCCATACGTCTTGCAACAATATTCGTATGCGAATCGTATAAAACGACAGAAATCCTTGTGGGTCATATATTGACATCAGCAGTCGGAGTAGTTCCCTCTTTGTCGGTATTCTTTCGGCTCTTAAGATTTCATTGCTTGCCTTGGTAAACTTCGTGTTAAATGTCGTTGCTCGTTTGCCACCACAACCCGAGAACCTTTTCTGGTTCTACCACTTGGTCGATTGTTTTCCGCGCTTTACAGAAATGGTTTATAGGTTCAGTCTCGCCGAGATCGTGAACTACCTTGGCGCAGTTTGAGACCCAACCTCTGATGTGAAAGTTACCGCGTTTATGCACCTCCTTTACATTTCTGGCCAGCTGGATGGCTTCTTGTGGACTATCAGCGCTGTCCAACATGTCATCCACGTAATCTCGTTCAATTATTGACTTGGAAGCCCTCGGAAACTCCTGTAAAGACTCTTCCGCGTTTTTAACTCTTACGTACTGCGCGATTGATGGTGAGCAGCTGGTTTCGAATGACATAACCTTCAGGACGTAGACATCTGGCGCTCGAGAATCATCGCAATCACGCCAAAGGAATCTTTGTGCATGCTGATCCTCCTCGTCTGCACTGACTCTGTGAAACATTTCACAGATATCCGCACAGATGCCGATCTTACCGATGCGAAAATTGTGATATTCGTGAGCGGTCTTAATAAATCAAGTCCTTTCTCCAGGCATCCGTTTAGAGAAAATCCTTTGTAGACCGCAGTACCATCCCAAACCAATCTTGTCTTTTTTGGCTTGTTGGGATTTCTAACCGAAAATATAGGTAAATACCATTTACGCTTATAATCCATATAGACTTCACATTCATTCAGCTTGCGAATGTACTGCCTTTCCTTCATGCCATGTATGTCCGCGATTACATTCTCTTTAAAGCCAGAATCCTGGTTGAGCTTCTTCTCAAAGCACTCAAGTCGACGCTTTGCCACCTCGTAATTGTCTGGCAGTGATATGTTACGTGAACGCCAGAGTAGCTTAGTCGTAAAATGGTCGCCGGTGCATTCGACGTATTTGGCAAGTCGATTTTTATCATTCTCATATTTTAAATCGCATGGTTGGGTTTGTATATCTGCGCTTTCATGTTTCATGCTTTCAATTAGAAGCTTCTGGATAGCTAAGTCATCGTCGCATTCACATATGTGTAACTGCAAATCATCGCGTAGGTTTTGTTCGCTATATTTTAAAACACCGTAGATTGTCAATCCCAGACGAGTTTTCGTTGCAGCTGGCTCATCGATCTTGCCCTCCCTGAACTTCATGGGCATTGCTACGTGCTTGTTACTTAAGCCTATTATCATTTAAGGTACCACATATTTGTATGACTGTACTGGCAGCCCTCTGAGATGTTTATATTTTTGCGAGAGTTCTGGCATTACCAAAGTTTGCGGAGGCAAGTCAAGCTTGTCGACTGTCCGTACGTCGCGCAACGTATACACTTTAATTTTTGCTTGAGCTGACACTTGCAAATTGACTAGCGCGGAGTTTTCCTCAACACGAACAGAACCATCAGTCCAACGCAACCGAAGCTCGGATTCTTCACCTTTCAGTTGCAACTTCTTGAATATATCATGTTCTATGATTGTAGGGCCTGATCCATGGGCGTAGCCAGGTAGGGGCAGGGGGGGGGAGGGGGCCCGGGCCCCCCCCCTAACTTTCAAATTTTTGCCTAGATATTCAAAAATACTACCACGAAATGCTTGCTTGGTAATTTCGGGCCCCCCCTAAATTTCAAGGTTTTTCCTATATATATACTGTATAACAAATTATACTCCCAACGCTAACTAAATAATTAGTAAATTGATTTGAAAAGTAGATATGTGGATCATCCGGTTCTGTATCAAGTTATTATCTCTAACTTCAAAGCACTTCCATTTTAAAAGGGTAAAAACCTGACTGCAGTCGACAATGAGCAAAAATTGATTGAACGGAAACTATAAATAAATTTATAGTTCAATTGTTTATTACTTTGTCTTTAGGTTTGTGTCTTTACTAAGCGGTTGGGTGAACAGCCAAGAGGTTTACTTCTAAAGTGTGACAAAACAAAATCAAGTAATATATTTAGCATAAATAAATATACCAGCCTAAAAAATCTGCGTACTCAAAATGTTCAATACGCCCTCATACTTATACATACATACATATGTATGTATATCATTTAACGTTTTGTCCGGCTATTTGGTTTATTATACAGGTATGTAGGGCGAATTTAAAAAAATTCATCAGGGTTTAGTTGAGATATTCGTTTTTGGCTACTATGTTTTGTACATTTCCCAGTACTGCAAAGCTTTTGACGGCCATTCACCTGGGAGTGGCCAGAAGTGATTCGTGTGCTTACGGTTCAAATCGCAGCTAACTAAGTCCAGATATTTATATCCATGAATACTCTGGGTAGCGGCCGAACGCTAGTTTGGGAGCGAGGTAAAGTGGGAGGGCGTAACACCCCGCGTGCGCTGGGGATTAATCGGGATGGTGCCTCTGCCCGGCTGGTTGAAGTCCTAGGGAAAATAAAGGCTGACATCAGCTCCATCCACGAAATGCGATGGACGGGGCGAGGAAGGTAAGCGTGAGCCTTGCGACGTCTGCTACAGTTGCCACGTAAAGGAGTGCAATTCGGTGTTGGATTTGTGGTGGTAGAGAGACCGGCGTTCATTCTAGTGAACGAAAGTCTAGCCACAATCCGCATCAAAGCGAGATTCTTCAACATCTCATTCACATGTGCCAATGCCCCGATGGAAGAGAAGGACGAGGCATCCAAGGCTCTCTTAGCTTAGAGCGTACATATTAGCGCTGCCCCCGACACGTATAAAAATCGTGCTTGGCCATTTAAATGCCAAGGTGGGCAACGAAGGGATCTTTGGTGCCAGTGTCGAAAAAATCAGCCTCCACATAGAAACGGCGGGCTGAGGATGATCCACTTCGCCGGGGCCCGAAGCTTGGCAGTATGTATTACTGGGTTCTAGCATAAAAACATCCATCAAGCTATTCTCATTTTCGTTGTTGGTGTTTCCTACAGGGTAGGAGTGTGATGTATTGTGGAACGATTTTCCGTCGTCCCTTGTCAAATTTGGTTTGGAGACAAACCGGTTTCGGCGTTGTTCCATCTTCAGTGTCATTTTTCGTTCTCTCCAGCTACATGGATGTCTCCACATCGAAAAACGGGAAACCAAATCGAGCATGTTGTGATAGACGGAAGGCATGCTTCCATGTTCTAGATGTACATACGTACACTCCGAGGGCCAAACATCGACTCGCACTACTATATTGATGCATCCAATATACGACCTAACCTCGGAGAACCAAAAAAAGGGCCCCCAACAATGCAGGGAAAGTTCAACGTCGAAAAGCTGCAATCAGAACAGACGGCCAATGGATTCGGCGCTCGACCCTCACACCTGCTGTGAGAGAGCACTCTTCAACAAACCGACTTGCGCGAGCAGTGGAACCACATTTCCCGCTAATTACTGGTACGATCACGAATGTGAGAAAATGCTTGAAATGCTGTCCGACAGAAAAAACACCCGAAATTTTTAGCAGAGAGTTGAGCGACTTACGGAAGGTTTCAAGACTCTTGTATGAACAACCATGGCGACCTAGTGACCGATGTCCAGAACGTACTCAGATTATGGAGGGAACACTTTTCGACCCTTTTGAATAGCGGAAGCACTTCGAGGTCCCAGTCGATGACGATGGAGTCGATATCCCAGCGCCTGACTATGAAGAAAAGTGCCAAAGCTGTTTGAGCTGACGGCCTGTCAGCTGAGCTATTTAATTACGATGGCAAGGAGGTAATAAGGTGCATGCCCGACGACTGGAATTCAAGTGCGCTCTGCCCAATCCACAAGAAAGGCGACCCCGCCATGCGTACCAACTACCGCGGGATCAGCCTTCTAAGCATAGGTTGCAAGGTCTTATTGAATGTATTGTCTACCATAGACCAGGTATTCACAGTACGCCGAATCTTGGAAAAGACACGCGAGAAAATGATCTGCACTCACCACCTATTTGTCGACTTTAAAGCCGCTTTCGACAGTACTTAAAGGTATATGCCGCTATGTCTGTCATACGCCTGTGAAAAATGACGTTGAGTAATACCACCAGCTCTGCTCTGTTGCCTTTCGCACCAGACGGGGTTTCAGACAGGGCGGCTCTCTTTCATGTGGCTTCTTTAATCTGATGTTGGAGAAGATAATAAGATCTTCAGAACTGAACCGCTTAGGAACAATTTACTACAAGAGCGTACAATTGCTGGCTTATGCCGATGACACTGACATCATCGGTAAGAAAAACCGCGAAGTCTGTCCTGACTTTTCCAAGTTGGACAAGGAAGCAAAGCGAATGGGTCTGGTGGTAAACGACGACAAGACGAAGTATCTCCTGTCATCAAACAAACAATCAGCTCATTCGCGCCTGGCAATTCAGGAGTAAAGTCCTCTCTCGACGTACGAAAACCACACTATAAATCACTCACATGCCCGTGCTGGTATGTGGCGTATTCAAATACAGCGGCTCAACTGGCTTGATCATGTCGTTCGAATGGACACCGACGCCCCAGCTCTGAAAGTATTCTGGCTTCACTTGGAATTTCTAATAGGCGTCAGTTGGTCAAAATCGCTTTGGCGGTTACAGGGCCAAAACGGAAGAAGAGGATGAGAATAGATCTATAACCTTATCAGTCACACAGTGTTATAATCCCGACGAAATCCTTGACGGTGGTACCGGGAGGGGAACGGTACATGACGGTGGGAATTTTAGTTTGGGTTAAAGTCTCACACGGAAGGGGTTAGGCTTTCGATGCTTCCTCCTCGTAAAATAAACATGCTCAGTAAAAAGTTAACAATTTAAATCGAGGAATAGTTTTATATCAACTTTTGTGAACTTCTGTTTATTTGTTTTTTGTACAACATATTTACCTTTATTGGTTACAATAATTTTAAGCTATAATAAAAAAATTTTAGTACATAAGTAAGTTATTGGTTTTGAATTTTTTATTTTGTATGGGCCCCCCCCCTAAACTTCGTTCTGGCTACGCCCATGGCCTGATCCATCATCCCAAAGTGCATAAATGTCTGCAGTAGCATTCCGCGAGTAAATTGTAATAGGCAAAACACGATACAAAACATTCGAAGATTTTTGTACATGTATCCCCACAATGTTTTGTGGAGCGCTATCGTTGCTTGACATCGACTTGTGCAACAGAGTATGATGTTTTGCTACACAATTGTTTTTGCCGCATTCTCGACGTTCGTTACAAAACTTGGGATCGTGTGGCTTAAGGCACGACCGGCATAGCTTCATGCGGTTAACCATATTCCATTTGTCATTGTATGACATTACCTTGAATTTATTGCAGTTTGCGATAAAATTATTTTCAGTACACGCCGAGCACCTGCGCGAATCTCGCTGACGCCGCTCATTTTCCGCTTCACGATTTTCCTAATGGATGCCAACACGATGTGATTTACGACTTTCTTCTTGTTGGCCGTCACCTACGGGTATTGTTATAACGGTGCTGGCAGCATTTGCCTGTACAGACAACCATTCACTGAAATCTAATAAATTTATATCAACATAACCATTTGAATTCATTGCCCAATCTAAACGCATTTGAGCTGGAAGTTTTTGAATTAAATCTCTTAAAAGCATAGGAATATTCAAATGTGACGTAAGTCCGGCCGCAGCGATTGTCGCTGTCAAATTTTTCACTTCAAGTGAAAATGGTATAAGCGTTTCAAGTTTGTTTGCGTTTACGACTGACGATGAGCGAACTTTTTCTAAAAGACTATTTATTATATGTTCAGGCCTACCAAAAATTGTACGCAGTGTTAAAATAACATCAGGTACTAGTGCTGGAATCAGAAGTTGACTTCGTACATAGTCGAGTGCTTTTCCTTTTAAGGTGCGCTGCAATGGAAGTAGATTTTCATTATAAATAAAGCCACATATATGAGTTGAAATTTCATAGCTACTAATAAACATCGGCCACTCTTCGGGTTTGCCACTGAAGTGTGGCAACTCTTTTGGCAGAGCTTGTCTTGCTTGAATTTGCACAGTTGTCAAGTTATAATTCGACTGACGTTCTCCAGTACCATAACCGCCGCACAAGGAGCCGCCATAACCGCTACCGTCGTGATCTTGCCTTAAGAAGTCATTATTCAAACTATGATTCGCGCCGATGTAGGCACATGCGTTTAGTTGACCCTGCATGCCCCTTGCAGTATATGTGTACTGATCACTTGTGTTCAACTGTCTTGGAAGGGGTCATGTG